GTGTCGGCGTTGCTAGTGTTTCATATTCGCTGTCGGTGTACGCTGGTTTAAGACGATCGATAGAAACAGTCTCCGGTTTACCATGTTTGTTCAGCGTGAAGTATTTATCGGTGCGTTTAAGTACTAGAAAAGGACCTTCATATGGATGTTGTAAACCTTTTCTAATGGCATCGACGCGAACAAATACAAATTTGCTAGTGAGTAGATTCTTATTAACTTGAGCTTTCTGAAGTGATTGGCGAGGGGCTACTGGTCGAAGCTGGAGCATTTGCTGGGTAAGGCGGTTGGTGAAGTCGGAGATATTTACTTCAGTTGAATCATTAGACGGAACTAACTGACCAGGCAATGTGAGGGTAGTACCATACACAAGTTGAGCTGGTGTACATCCCAAATCTTCTTTTACAGTTGATCGGATACTGAGAAGAACTAATGGTAGGTGTTCACTCCACTTAGATGAGTCAGCTTGTGCCATAAGGGAGCTTTTCAGTTGTCGATGGAAACGTTCCACCAGACCATTCGCTGCAGGATGATAAGCTGTAGTGGAGATATGGTTCACTCCAAGGAGTCTCGTAAACTCTCGAAACAGAGTTGATTGAAATTGAGCTCCTCGGTCTGTTGTAATAGTTGTGGGTACTCCGTAGTTTGACACCCAACGATCTAAGAAAACCAAAGCGATATTTTCTGCAGATATATCGTTGAGTGGACAAGCAATAGCCCATCGGGTAAATCGATCAATCGCAGTAAGTATATGAGTAAATCCTCTGGATGGCGGTAATGGTCCAATAATATCTATATGAACGTGTTGAAATCGTTTATCCGGTAAATTGAACTGTTTTGGAGGTGTGACGGTATGATGATGTACCTTGGATCTTTGACATTGCAAGCATTGGCGGGCCCATTTCCGAATATCGGAGTTCATCTTGGGCCAAACAAAACGCTCGCTGATTAACTTGACCGTAGCACGCACTCCAGGATGAGACAATGAATGTAGATGTTCAAACAAAGGTTTTCGACAACTTAGTGGAACAAAAGGTCTATGAACGCCCGTTGAAACGTCGCAGACGATAGTTGTATCAGACAGGGGAATAGGTACATCCTGCAACTGTAGGGAGGAGTTTCGTCTACAAGTATGGAGTTCGGCGTCATTTTTCTGCAGCTTGGCAATATTGTCTAAGCTAATATCTATCGAAGATAGGTGATTAACGTCACATCGAGACAAAGAATCGGCTACGATATTGGAATCTCCTTTGATGAACTGGATGTCTGTTGAGAATTGTGAGATGTAATCCAGTTGTCTGGCTTCTCTCGGAGAGTGTCTGTCCAACGAAGTGGTGAAAGCATAACAAAGAGGCTTATGGTCGGTTAAGATAGTAAAATGTCGACCTTGTAGTAAGAAGCTGAAATGTTTCACTGCTAGGTAGATGGCTAACAGTTCTCTGCCAAAAGTGCTGTAACGAGTTTGCGCAGGTTCCAACTTCTTGGAGAAGAAAGCAAGTGGAGTGATGTCATTATTGAACTTTTGTTGTAAAACTGCTCCCACTGCTACCTGCGATGCATCTGTACATAAAATGAGTGAAGCTTCTGGGTTGATGTGAGATAACATTACAACGTTGGATAAGGCATCTTTTGCATTATTAAATGCTGCTTTTGCTTCTTCAGACCACTGAAATTTCTTCGAATTGCATCTAAGTAGGTCGGTCAGTGGCTGAACTATGGAGGCACATGATGGAATAAAACGTCGGTAGAAGTTGAACATCCCGAGAAAACGTCTAAGTTTCTTTAAGGAATCAGGTTCGGGAAAGTTCTTAATAGTTTTTATCTTATCTTCGGTAGGTCTGATGCCTTCGGCAGTTATTCGATGTCCTAAGAATTCAATGGAAGGGGAACCAAAAATACATTTCTTTGGATTGATAACAACTCCAAATTGTTCAAACCTTTGAAATAACAGCTTAAGTGTTCCATATGTTCTTCCATCGATGAGCTGGCAATTAAGACATCGTCGATATATACAAAGACGAAATCAAGACCTTGGGTAACTTGGTCCATAAAACGCTGAAATGTTTGAGCAGCATTCTTTAGTCCGAAAGGCATTCTCAAGAATTCGAATAATCCAAAAGGCGTGATAATTGCTGTTTTTGCAATGTCTTCTGGAGCGACTGGTATTTGATGATATGCCCTGACCAAGTCAACTTTAGTAAAAATGGTCTTTCCATGTAAGGTCAAGGAGAAGTCGTGGAGATGAGGTATAGGATAACGGTCTGGGACCGTAGCGTTATTCAAAGCGCGATAATCTCCACATGGTCGCCAGTCGTGATTAGTTTTAGGTACCATATGCAAAGGTGAAGACCATGGACTGTTAGATGGTCGTATGATGCCTAGCTGCATCATATGTTCGAATTCCGACTTAGCTGCTGCTAGTTTATCGGGTGGTAACCGTCGTGGACGTGCCTTCACAGGTTGTCCTGTTGTGATGATCTTATGCGTAACTGTATGAGATATATCTTCGACGTTGTATGATGGTTTAAGGATTTTAGGAAATCGTTGCAATAAAGCAGAGAACATTTCACTCTCCGGCTTTTCTATGCAGATGCTATGAACAGAGTAGTCACATGTAATACCGTGGATCTTGAGTTGGGTGCAATTGTCAACCAGTTTTTTCTTGCTGATATCAACTAACAGATTGAAGTGACTTAGGAAGTCTGCACCTAGTATAGCGTGACGTACGTCAGCTACTATGAAGATCCATGTGAAACGTCGGCGTAATCCTAGGTTTAAAATCATTGACTGTTCGCCATACGTCTGTATGTTGGTTTGGTTGGCAGCACGGAGTGAAAGTTTCCAGGTATTTTGGCTGATCGCCTGGATAGTGAGGGGGGAATAACACTGACCTCGGCGCCTGTATCTACCAGGAATAATGTGCCGGTAGTCAAATCCCTCACATAGAAAAGGCGACTGGGGTGATTGCCAGTAACAGCCGTCGCCATTACTGTCTGGCTGGGGAGTTTCCCTGAGTTGAGTTACCACTGTTGTATATGCACGGTCGAAGACACTTCAGGGCATTATGCCCATACCTCCTATGATACCAACAAATGTTACGGCTTTGAGACGGTGTTCTAGAACGTCGTCTAGATCTTGATCGCCGTTGCTTGGATACCGTATGTGACTGGTTCCTTTGTGCTCGAAGCTCAGACACTTCCAGTCGTAAGTCTTGCATTTGAGATGTTAACTGAGAAAGTAACCAAAATAGTGGTGCGTCCTTCATAGATGTGGAATCCGGCAAGGCGGTAACAGAAGAGTTCTGTGTCACTTCGCCTTTATGTTCTTCGGGAATAGTGGTACGTTTATATGGAGCCATTGTCAAAAAATATTTAAGTATAGAGATATACAAAATAGCAAAACGTGTGGTAACAAAAATTAAAGCAATGCGAGTTTATAAGGCCAAAATAGCAACAAAAATGTTAAAAACGAGTTAACTATCGAGAAAAAAGGTTCGAAACGGGCTCATCAATTATTATGGTGGACCTTTTACTCTGTTGGCTTAGTTACCCAAATTCAAATAGAAAATAAAATACCAAATCAGTTTAGTTACGGGAAGAATATATAGAAGTTTCGTTACTTGGGTTTACAAAGATCCAAAATCCACAATAAACGTAATAGACTCCAGCGGTGCTGCGGGAAGACTGCTTCAATACTAATTCTCCAATGTTGACGTTGCCGGAGGTCGACCAAAGTACGTAGGAAGAAACTACGGTGCTCCTGCAAAAATTTGAGATAGAAAGCAGGTGATTAGAATTGATCGACGGCAGTTGAGATGGTGGAGAAGACGGAGAGTCGAAGGCGGAACTATATATTTATTCAAAACCCGAGGTAAAGTTCAAAGTACAGAGTTTATGCTTAAAACAAAGTAATGTACAATATGTTCATTTCTTACATAGTAGTAAAAATTGGAAAATTTTATTTTTGAGGACTCCACAGCTCCGCAGTACCGTTGTCAATCACAAACGTGACCGTCTGGGAGGTATCACCCATGGTATTCTTGAAGGACTGTGTTACTGCTTCAACGTCAATAAGTCTTCCACGATGAGTTATAACTCATATATATATATATATATATATATATATATATATATATATATATATATATATATATATATAGTACATGACTGGACAACTGTTGAGACGGTCTGTAATGACCAGTTGATATAGAGGATGACAACCTAGGTTGTTGGCATGGATTCTGGAGCTCTAGAAATTTTTTATGCAAACTCATCATTTCGAAATAAGTTTGCATAAGAAATTTCTAGAGCAGGGACCCTTGCCGAAGCTTACAACAGTTCTAAACTTATTCAAACCTATTCTTAGATAATGCCTTTTTACCATCAATGATATCTATGGTCGGCCTGCGAATTTTGGGCTACCGATTTCCACGCTGAAAATTCAATACTTGTACCAAAAATACGGTGTAGAATCAAGCTGTAATCAAAAATAACATAAAATGAAGATTTTATTAATTAATAAAATCTTCATTTTATGTTATGGGTTATAATTATAACATAGTGGGTTAACCCACTATGTTCTACAGTAACGCTCGTCGTGCTTAATATATCTTTTGAGGGCTGGAATAACGCTGATAAGAAAGCCCACTAGGTTCTGATCTACTCCTGAAAATGCCTAGAAAAAGGACGGGGCGCTGAATATGCTGAAATTTCAGTGTGATCACACTCCTTCCAAGTCCTTAGACTTCGGCATCGAACTAATTCATTGAATTCAGCGTATAAATCCACTGATAATACATTAATTATGTCTACCATGACTACGTGCATTACCAGTTATCCTACCGAACAATTAAAATCATCTTACAAAGTAGAAACAACAAAATATTTGGAAATACCGCTACTGCTACCTTAATGGTAATATCAAACAGACCAATCATATTCGAGTGAGTCATTTGTTTGTATCACTAGAGGTCACGCGAAAATACGGCCCTCGACAGGCTCTCTTTAACGTTGTAGGCAACAGCATGTACGTATTGTCACAATAGTAAGTGAATTGTCTTATACTAGTCGTTCTTCTGCATTTCATAATGTAGGGAAGGATCATATTTCACGAAGTTAATCTTAAGAGCCCAGCTAACAATTCCTTCGGGCGTACTGCAGGAAATTCGGAGTGAAATCTTTGGGCGCATTGCAGAAAGCACAACTGTTATCCGCAATCTCCCCTTAATTTTTCTGTGTGCCCCCCGAAGTCACTGTCAGTTGGGAACTCATCCAGGTGCATTGACCTCGAGAAACAAGTGGACTAACATTTGGTTTAATCCAGTTTTCACAGCATAGGCCAAGTTAAACTTTAAGCACCAGTGAAGTGTGACAGCAGCAGCGGTCCTGAAATGTTCAGTGAGCAAGTTAGTGAAACCTGGCAAATAATTTTGTCATCATGAATATATTATACTTGATTAAGTGTTATGTTATTGAATAGGATATCTAACAAGTTTCAGCTAAGATTTGGAAACGATTATATTGAGGTTTAGTCTAAAGACAGCTTAGGGTTATATTGACCTAATAACGGAGATATTAGCGTTTCGGTTCGAGTCAGATCAGGGTTAGTTTGGGGATATTTTCACGTTAGGGTTAGGTTAAGTAAAGGATTAGGGTTATTGTTTGGGTTAGAAGACCTAGATAATTACATGCATAGAATGTACATTTAAATACTTATTTAAATTACTGTATTGATTCTCCAATCCAATAACTAAGTGGTATTTTTGTCACGCGTCAGAGAAAGGTACCCTGCCTATACGTTACACGGCTGTTAATTCATTACTTTCATGAATAAATAAATATGCGCAAAAATCTCCTTTGTCATGTGGTTGGTGAGTTCAAGATCAGTTGTCTGTTGGTACTTACTGGTGCTTAAAGTTTAACTTTGAACATTCAGAGACAAGCGACGGTAGGCTACTGTACCCTGTGTTGACCCTTGCAATATTTGTGTCCGTCGAGATCGATAGAGTTTATAATGGAAGCTGATATAACTTGTTTTGGCAGACAGTCTTATTTGTTGACCATCTTGTGAGAGTATTTAGCTCTCATGTGCAATTTGTCTCATCGCGGTTTTAGCGTCAATACGTGAAACATCAGTTACCATAGGATAAGCTGATATTAGGTCGCCTCTTCTACGGTATGATAATGAAGAGAGCTTTACACTTTCTAACCTCTTATAAGGAAGGATTGAGATTCCTCTGACCAAATTAGCGTCCAAACTTAGTTCTCCATCCATCTCTTGTGCCTACTTCAAACATGAATTAAGTCCGTGTTCACAGAATACAAGATGAGGTCCTAAAATTATTTATATTATTTATTACTACATTTAAAAGCCGTTGGAAGCGTTCAAAGTGTTAGGAAAGCTTAAGCCACATCTGTAATATATAATGTAAGCTTTAAAGTTATGATTGACAAGAACTCGTAAGTCCCTCTTTACCTTGACCTTAGGCAACTCTAATAACCACAAAAAGTTCATACCTTATGTTATGAATAACAGTCATAATCTGAAAGTTACAACACATATATGTTCTTAAAGTGGTTTGGGTCCGCAGTCCAGTTATTGATATTGTATGCTCAATTCGGAAATATATACTGAGTAGAGTTCCACTTGTTTTGTACTAGTGGGATGTCCAAGTTTCCAAATGTCTCGAATTTCTTCAGATTCTAGAGATTTTTGGGTTCTTATTCAGCCTATCCGAAACCAGGTATACAAATGTAGATATTAATACGCCTTACTTATATTTGGCTCCTGATTGCTTTCAATATAGTTCAAATGCAATTATCACGCTTCACCATCTTCTCATGACTAAGTCAAGCTCACAACAGAGTTCTCACAATTTTGTCTTCGTTTTTGTGTATCTGCTAAAAACACTTCTTGAATATTACTGCCGTTCACCTGTAGATTTCTTAATAACTCTGACCAAGTACACCCTGTCAATATTGTTTTCACCAAGAATATTTAAGGAAATTCGGTACTCAACTCGGTTTTAAGAATGACACAATGATGGTGTTCACCTACGGAGAAGCCTATGGTCACTTATACGATAAGCCTATATTTTATTTGTGAATATCGGAAAGAAAATTATTTAACCACGGTTAACTAATCAGTAATCGTATAGTACAAGTGCAAAAATTTGGCGTATTGTCGAACATGATGGTTTCTTGGTCTTTATCGTATATCATTGACAAGAAGTCTCAAGGATGTTTTCTATTGGTTCACAAGAGGTTCTGTTCAGTGATGACAATGTTTAAGACGAGAGTTACTATAATAAATCAAGAATCTGTCAACATGGTCGGCGGGCATCATGACACTTAGTAATGCACTGTTTGTGTAAGCTGTTAATACAAAGTTTCTCGCTAAGAAATAGGGTTACTGAGACCATCCAGTACACTACTAAGTAAGTTATTTAGTTGCTAATTCCTTCTCTATGATCATTTCTGCAAACGGTATCCCTACTTTGGTAGTGAAAATTTACACTACATTTTGTGTGTAAACGTTCCAAATTTGTTGAAAAAACGATGCATCTTTTATTGCCGTACGTTTTTTATGAAAATTCAGTTTAGTGTACGATTTCAACTAGTTACAAAGTGGTGACCAGAAATAAGTTGTCAATATTTTCATATAATTTTTCAATTACAGAATGAATTCGAAAAACTCATTAAGACGTATACTTCCAAAGAACAATGTACGTGTATCTACTGTTAGTCCGAAAATGTCTACCTCTGGATCCGATTCGGTAATTCCCGTCACATTTATTTACAATCCAAATTTTCTGATAATTACGTCGTGGTGACCATTTTCTTGTATCCTGGTGTTACTGTTCCAGATAAGGCTTTTATTCAGTCATACCTGTTGTAGCACATTTTGTTTTTATTAGGGTCTCAATTTCATTTTATCATATTCTAATGTTGTAATTTACCACTGTTTACATTCCTTCTGATGTTGATTTGGTATATTTCAGGGAATTCATGTAACAATAGTAGCCAGTTGTTTTTGCTCAGTAGGTTAATAATTCAGACAAAATACGTTGTAGAGATATAATAGTCTTGTATTTAAAGGAAATGGTGTACAGAATTTTCGGCAATCAGTGTCAACAAATTTTTTAATCGTTATGTATTTAGGGGTTATACTTTAGGTTATTAACATTTATTCCCAAAGTTTTCTCAGAAGGTTTACGGCAACACTATGTAGTGTTAGTCAATAACCAAAACATTGACACTCAAATCATTAATTAATTGGGTGTTCGAAGATATGTAACTGTGACACCCATAAACTTGCCTTACTCCTGTATGACTCAGAAGGGGGCAAGTGGAAAGCTACTTATCCTTATCACATATTTGTAGCCTTTTATTGCTTTTGTGCTACCGAAAATCACAATTGAAAAACATGAAGGTGTATTACATCACCTAGTAATAACAATAATTAAGGATTGAGTTTTAGGCTTTTGAAACCAAATTCACCGGTATCATCAGCGTTTTCTAAAAATTCAGATAGAATTCAAAACAGACACTGCTGTCATACATTTTTCAATAAATCCTCAAGTTTGTTGTGAGTTCAGTTGTTTGATGTCAGTGGAAAAACCACTAGAGATAGTTACTAGTAGTGTACAGCAGGTCGGGCGTGAGGACAAATACTCGTCGAAAACATTGGTTAGTGGTCGTGCCTTGTCGTGAATTGCCAGAAGTTGGAATTCATGGACTATTGAATCGGATCCCAGTAGCCTAATTGTCCACGAGGTTGTCTTGTAACGAGAAGGTCCTGGGTTCGCACCTCGGCGGGTGCGTACTGACGACGAGTACCAAGCTAGGAAGAAACAGCTGTCCAGTACTCCAGGTCTTCCAACGGTTCTCTAACCGATGTCAGCTCATGATGAAGTCCTTTAATTAATATTTTTCTATAATTCCGCCCTTTAATGAGTGGTGTTTAGCAGTTTGCCCACAGATTTGTGTAGGCCCACTAGGCCATGGCAGGTGCACTACCCTTGAGCAATGGCTGCTACCTTAACGTGGTGGTAGGGTTTGCAGTATCACAATGACAGCGACTTACACTTGCTGGAACAAGTATTCCTGCAGTTTTCACCATATCAGAAATGTCGTTTAGATAGCTGTTAAATTAGAGGCAGCTTTTACCACAGTGCAAGTTGCTCATGTGTTGGAGTGTCTGAGGGCGAATTCCTACTGTTGGCAAATAGAGACGTGACAGGTAGTAACGAGGACGTAACACTATGACCTTAACATAAACAAAAATTCTCAGTCTAGGGAAGAAATAACTAAACTTGCACCTAAGGTTGACAGCAAGACTCATTCTGAGAGAGCTTGGCATACTACTCATCCAAAGTAAAACTGTGATCAAGGCTCTTAATAACCTGGAACCAAAGGTTAGTAAGTGGCAATGGATTTCTGCTGCTGATAGATTCAAGAATACTGATTCCGGTAGGTTTTAAACATGACGAGGAAAGAAAGATGCTGAAGTGCAAACTGACTTAAAGTCTCCTCAATTACTTTGAACACTGGTGGGTGACAAAAGCGAAAACGATGGAAAAGATTTCAGCAATAGATAACACCAGCAAACTATTTAGACACATCGATGAAACAAGTTGTAAAAAACCACTGTTATGCGAAACGATTTCTGGGAACGGTACTTGAGTTACCTTTCACAATTGAAACGTTGTGGGGATATTGGAGAGCATTTCGACTGGCTTGACTAATATTGTCTAAAATCCAATAGTCCCATACGTAGACTAAGTGAAACACCCGTGGAAACAAAATAGGTCTTCGGTTCAGTTGACTCCTGGTTTAAACTTGGTAGGGGTTGTGAATTGGTTGAGCGCTATGAAGTAAGAACTGTAAATTGTTAGTGACATGGCTTAGTTGCTCTCACGCCTTGTGATCCTCCAGATCCAAGTTGTCCTCATCTTTTTAAAATATTTATTCCTTCATGGGTACATCTCCGTTCATAGTAGTTGCGTTGAATTTTTTCTGTTCTCAATGGCACAGAGGCATCCACTCCCTGTGACTTATGATTTCCAATGAAACTATATTGTTCTTCGTTATTACTATTCCTTTTCCTCACACCTCTGTTCACTGTCTCTATTATGCATTTCTTCTACTTTCTTCTCTTGCTTTGTGTGTTACATGGAGTGTGGCGACTTGAACTGCCACATATCGGTGCAAAGTTCTATGTCGAAAACAGACAGACTGTACCTTTGTTCAAAGTTTCACTTTGAAGAATCAGTCAGGCGGAACAACATGAATACACTCAGTAGGTAAACTAATTATGATACATGGGTGGTTAGGTTTCATGATTAACGCACAATCTTTAAATCACGAACTGTTATATTTCAGCCGAATGGTTGTATGATAATGCTCATGTCTCGAAACATGACGGTTCCCACCGGTTCGTGAGTGCTTGCTGTTGAAGATTTCTTCACCATAACGAATAACTATTAAGGTCACTGCTTTCTGATATTTCTGTTTCTTTTCATCAGTCAATCACCAAGCTGGACATTTTTAAAAATAATTTTAGGTCTAGATTTAGATTTCGTTTGTAATTTTCTTCTTTCTGTCTTTTTTTCAAACAGCTGGGCGGTAGTGTGCCTTCGTCTGTATTTAGGACAGACGTCCCACGAATAAATCAGTGCACTTCATTGGGTGTAAACACTGAAACAACACAACCGGATGATTCCAGTGAAAATGATATCGTGCTTTATGGAGATGTTGAATCAGGAAATCAAGAATTCAACCCTTTCAAAAGCTGCCGCGAACTATATGCCAATACAATAGTACCTCGTAATCATTTAAGAGCTACACACCAAAAGGTTTTGCTACCCTCGCACAGTATTCCCCGATTACCAATTGTTTCTAAAACGCTTCCATCTGGACCGTGTGACTCTGGCTTCGGCGTGAATAAGGAAAGAAACCTACGTCCAACTGTCAAGTTTTTGCTTCGCATAGGTATGGGGTACATAATTGTCATTGCTTATTGGTTTTGAATAGGTATTTTATGCAGCTTTTCCGGTGTGAGTTATTTTATTAGACATAACGTATGAAATGCGTTACTAGTGTGTTGTAATTTCCTGAGAAATTGGAAATTATTCCTAACGTATAGTGATCACTTCACCTAATGACGATGGTCCAGGAATCTGCCAGACAGCTTCCGTTATCACCATTCTTTCAAGCTTTACTTTGGTTTTCACCACCTTGTATATTATCCTTTGGTATCAGTACGATACTACTAAAGTAAAGCTTACAGAAAAGTGAGATGAGAAAATAAGTCGGTAGTTATACGTAATTAGAAATTTAGTGTATGAAACTCTACGCGGATCCTTCGTTGTTAATAAACAATTTGCTGTTTTCAGTCACTGTAACGTGTTTGACAGTAATAATTGATAAGATCTTCGTGCATTTGTTTCGTGTATCCGTATTGTTCAATATCTCAGTCCCTATTATATCAGTATAGATGGTGTATCTCTTGGTAACAGGCATTATGTCCGACGCATTTAGTGCCACTTAGCGAATGATTCAATGATGTGTTAATACATTTTCATTTGGATGATGAATTGTATATGTACGAAATGAACATCTGGTAGTTAGTTGCATAGGTATTCAAAGCACCACCTGTGTGTGGCATAAAACCGTTCAGCATGTACCGTTTTAGTTAATTTTAAAGTTGTTTAGTTAGTAAAGGGTTATTGATTGATAGATAAGGTTATGGAGCTGCATGAATGTTGTTTTATTGATCACTGTAGTGTAACTGCTCACCACACTGTTACAACTCCTTATTACTTTCTGTTGACTCATATCAATTACTACTTCCAACACTTGTCATGTGTTTATTGATTCTCTCCTTCTAAACTGTTGGGGCACACAATGACTTCTTGAATTGCTGTACTTTTCAAGATACTGTACATCTGTATAATCTGCAAAAGGATTATTTTTCTTAACGATAAAAACCAGTATCTCATAGTTCCACTAAGCTAACCGTAGTGGTTTATTGTGTGTGTATACTGGAAGTAAGCTGAACAAGGTTGAATAACAGTGAGCGAACAAACGTGTGTAGCACAGGTTGCAAGTATCGATTGGCGGTTAGTGCTAAAAAGTATAAATCTAATTTTTTGTTTTTGAAGTTTCGTATCACTCATTTTCAAACAACTGCGACTACTGAATTTTGTGTTACAAATTGGTTTGAACTGAGCACACGAATCAAAAAGTGTGGGACTTCTCAGTAAAATCATTTTATTTGTATGGTTTTGCTTTTTCTAAGAGCTTGGCATTGAAGAAGTAGCTGATATTAAAGCTATTTTTTTATTAGCATTATTTCAGGATTAATATATGTGTAAAACTTGGGAACTGTGGTAGTAAGTAATTCCATATTCCATACATTTAATAAACAAACTAATATGGAATTATTTACCACAGTGCCCAAGTTTTACACATATATTAACATGACTTATGGTCTTCCTGTACGAAGACTTATCAATATACTCACTCGACTTTCACAAACTGAAGCAAGATATGAAAATCACCGTATTTTTAACATTCGATGCTTAAAAAATGAAATCATTCCTAAATATCTACTTCTACGTGCTCCAGTTCCAACGGACAGAGTGAGAAACAGAATAGAAAGTCTACAAAAATTATGCCTGAAAGAAGAGATCCACAGAATCGTTAAAAAATTGCAACATATCAGATGTAAAATTGAGCAATTAAAACAAAAGCTAAAAGGAATAGTTACCAATGTAAATTATGATCTTATAACACAATCCTCCAACAATGCAAAATCAGCCACTTTCAAAAAGTCACAAAATAGTCAAATCAAAAAGTTCAACAAATTATTAGAGGAGAAATCTTCATCTCAGAATGATGAAGTCAACAATCCAGAATCAACGGCGATCGATAAATCAAAGTGAGTTATCAATCTCTCATCACATATATTAAGTCCTATGGAAATAAGTGTATTAGAAAAGGGACTAAACTTCAATGTAGCGGTGCACAACCTGAGGATGTCATCCCTAAAATAGAAATAGCACTAAGTGGGATAGACAAAACAACAGCTGAAGAAGTACGTGCACAATGTGCACTTACATTAAAACGACAGAAATGTGGAAAGCCTAACCTAACAAAACCAGAGACAGAAGCCCTGAAACACCTTAAGAACAACAAGGACATAGTAATCACAAAGTCAGACAGAGGAAATGCAACAGTAGTGTTAGATAAATCAGACTATTTGGACAAGGTAAATACTCACATACAAACAGGACCATATGAGGAAATTAATAAATCAATAGACACAGCTATGAATAAAGTTAGGAAATCCACAGCGGACCTTATACGCCGGATGAAGCCGTTTCTAGGTGAATCTAAATGGTTTGATTTAATGCCCAAAACTAATAACCCCAGTAGGATGTATGGTGTTGTTAAAATTCATAAGTCAGGATACCCTACTAGGCATATAGTTGATTTTAGAAATTCACCTACCTATGAATTATCTAAATATTTAACCATGGTATTAAATCCCCTAAAAATCCACTCGAAATCTAGACTTACTAATTCTTATGAACTAAAACACAGATTAGATAATTTAAAATTAGATAATGAAGAGAGAGTGGTTAGTTTTTGACATTGTCAGTTTAAATATACACGTATACCAATAAATATGGCTATAGAGGCGATCAGAAACGAACTCATTTCTGACCAAGAACTTGAACAAAAGTGCCACTTGAGGACATAATGGTGGGAGTGCAGCTTTGCCTGACTTCTACAGTATTTAAATTCCAAGGGAAAATATACAAAGAAACTGATGGAGTTGCCATGGGATCACCAATATCCCCTGTTGTAGCAGATATATTCATGGATAGGTGGGGAAAGATAGCGATTGAAACGTTCACTCCCACCCCAAAAGTATGGTGGAGGTATGTAGATGACACATTCACTGTACTTAGAACACAAGATATAGATAGATTTTTCGAGCACATCAACTCGAAGGTAGAGGCAATTCAATTCACTTATGAATTGGAAAGTCAGGAAGGGGAACTTCCAATGTTAGATTGCAACGTAAAAAGGAAAGAAGATGGGAAGCTAAACACTAGTGTTTACAGAAAACCCACACACTCAAACAGATATTTGGATTTCCGATCATCCTATCCCATGTCAGTAAAAATAGGATTAGTGAGATGTTTAAATGACAGAGCACAAAAACAAAGTAGTACCAAGGAAAATCCGAGACAGGAAGTGATACACATAAAAGAAGCCTTGAAACTTAATAGTTACCCGGATAAATTAGTCAAGAAATATGTAAGTAAATGTACAAATAAAATAAATAATGATAATAGCGATAGTGATGATAATAATAATATTAATGACGACACCAGCAATAAGGAATCTAAATCATCAACAGTAATTCCATACAAGGAAGGAACCTCGGAAACCTTACGCAGAATTCTTAACAAGGCAGGAATAAAAGTGGCATTCAAACCCACAAACTCAATTAGAAACAAGCTTTGTCAGTTAAAGGATCCTATGGAGCCTTTGAAAACAAAACAATTTAGTTTATCTAATACCCTGCAATGATTATGAAGTCAAATACATAGGTCAAACTAGTAGAACAGGGGCAGTCAGACTAGCCGAACATAAAAACCTAGCTAAATCTAGATCGGTTGACCAAAATGAGATAAAAAATCTAGAGAATAGTTCAGCTATAGCACTACATGCAGTCACACACAGCCATACAATAGGATGACAGTTTTAAAATCTAATGTCACAGGGTATAGGGAGAGATTGATAACAGAAACTTTGTTTATCGAATCAACTGCAAACACATGTAATAGGAATGATTCAACACTTGTCCCAGATATATGGAAAATTCTACTGCCCATACGACAAATAGGAGAAGACAGAGAAAACTATAAAAATCAAATCTCGAAGTCGTGTGACCAATATTGATATGTTTATAAAAAATAAATTGTGTTCGAAACGTCATCCAGTATACAATACTGTTTCACTGTGTGATACATCTAATAAACAAACTAATATGGAATTATTTCAGGATTTTTGAGGATTTTCGATTATCATTTTTGATATAATATCTACTATTCAAACTTCTAAAGGAATATTTCGCATCCCAACTGTCTATAATTACACTTTTCTCACTTTGTTTAGGCTCGGCGCTTGTACGACACCAATACGAATCAGCAGCTGCAGAGAAGGCAAATCCCTCTCCTGAACTACCAGCTCGTAATCGACGTAAACGCCAACGTTCAGAGGAGAATCAGATGCAGTCAAATAACAAAAAATCTTTAGTTGCACCAGTTAACATTTCTCATCTAACATGGAGACCGAAAAGTTATCACGGTCGCTGGGATGAGATATGGTATTACTGTATTAATAACAAATGTCCATATGTTCCTGCATCTGCTATGGAGTTACTAAGACATCTAGAGCAAGGTCATCAGGAATTTGTTAATATTGATCCGCTTGTTGTGCTTAGAGAAACACTCCGAGAAAGCAGTGAAAATAATGGCAGCATGATAAATCCTGAAATAGATTATGGTGACTACCTGATGAGTCGTTTTTATGTTCCCCTTCCAGTAAATATGTCCAACTCATCTTTAAGTATACCAGAATACTCTTGTTCTGTATGTGGTCGGATTAGTGAGAGTCAGAGTGCATTAAGTATTCACCTTAAACGGTGAGTTTATACATACATCTAATATACTCATTTTTTCGATTGATGTATCAGTTTGTAAAATATATCAGCCTTCAACATTTTGTTCTAGCCAAAAGAGATTATTGTCATTCTTTTAACTTAATGGCTATTGAGACCACACAATGAAAATGGATTTAGTTAAAGAACTGGTAAAATCCAGAAAACACACAAAAGAGATTGATTTCAAGTGCTATCTATGCCCAGTTACATACTCTTAGGAGTTTAGATGCTTGCGTGGGTAAGCGTCTATCATCAGACCTATCCATTTACCATTAATATGGTCATGTTCTGTGATAAATGATATGTATACGAAGTATAGTATGAGTTGGAAATTAGAGCACGTTTGAGTATGTTGTGATGTAACAAAGATGAACTCATTGTTTTATTTTTTCTGTTCCCTTATGTTCCTAGTGGAACATAGGGCTTCAAGCTAGCGGCTTGAAGTTTAGGTAACAGTGGAGTTTATTTTTACGGGATATGGTTACTAGCCCCATGCCAAACCTTCCCTCTTTACTAGCTTTATTACTGGTGTAGTGAGGTGAAGGAGTGCATTGGCCGGGAATCGAACCTCAGACCACCTGCGTGGTCGGCGAGCATTCTACCGCTGTGGCACCGACGCATTGTTTTATACCTCACTGTAATTATTTTTTTTCTTCGGTCACTTGTTGAGGAATAAGTGATCAGAAAATTTCTTTTAAACTATGGTAATACATGTATGTGCATGTCAGTTGTATAGTCTCTGCTTCAGTAAGGATTTGTTTGCCTGTTTGTTTGTTTTTGTATATACCAAAGACTAATCATTTTCATTTCTTTAAAAAAATTATTATTCTAGCACTCATGCACAATTGACTATTGAGCGTATAGAGAATCCCAAAATTATGATATGCTCTGTATGCGGTTCGCCCGTAGAAACTACCAATTTATTTCAAACTTCTTCACGTAGTCTAGATTCGGATATTATTTTACACGCTTCGTGTACACCAAACAGTTCATATCACATCAGCTCTCCTTGGTCTGGATGTGATGCTCACGCATTAGCCTGTCTTACGCTGAATCCTTCATTATATGCCAGATTCAGTTTACCTTTTAAAGTTGTGCGTTTCCTGTATAAATTAATACAACTGATGATGATCACTCGAATAAAAGATTTTGGAAGTTGGAGCCTACAGTGTTATACTGTAAAGTATTGTGCACGCATATCATCTCTTTACGGTGAATTCATCGAGCCAAAAAAAGTTAAACCCTTTAATCCTTCTAAAATGAGCAGGATCCTAGAGCAAATTGATCATATAGAGTCAGTATACCCTGGGACTCCATTAACTTTGTAAGTACTAGTTTTTTTTTCAATTTGTGTTTTAATAATATCAATAATATGATTCAATCTCATGATCTTCAATGTTAAGCACTTGTTAATCGCGATAGATAGATAGACATTCCAACGTTTGAATGAGTCATTTCAATTTGGCTGAGATTTTATGAATATAATTTTATAAATGTCTACTTCTCACTCAGCGCGAATTATTTTGCAACTATCCAGTCAAATCTTGATCACAGTTCATATGAGATATATATATATTTTTTGATGATTAATTATAATCCGAGTAAATCTGCTGAAGAAGCTGTGGCTTACATGGCGAAACGTTCAGAAAAATCTTGTTTTGATTTTTTTAACACGCTGGGATTAATTTAAATAATTCATAATGAATCAATCTGACTCGGCGCTCAAATTATTCCAGGAAATTCGTAACACCTACGGTCTGGATACCTATGAGCAGATAGATAGTTTGACAGACAGCTATCGATATTATGTGACCCTTTTATCGCGATTATTGGCTAATTTAATGTAACTCTCACCACGTTGTGTGACCTTGAATGTTTTTTATTTTCTGTCTATTGTGTCTATATGTAACTAATTCACTGTTCATTTTGTCCGTCTACGTGCGACTGAAGTCGGCTGATCTATTGGTGCAGGCGTCATCGTTGCTTGTCTTGTATCCATTTTGAGCTCGTGACGTCACGCGCCTCCTTCTAGTGCTTTGCCCCCAGCGTCTCAAGTAGCAGCTCCATCGCTGACAGATCTTGAACGCCACTCAACTGCGCAGAAGCTTGAGTCCTGCCGAAGATCCATATGTCTCCATCAAAAACTGCAGGTATAGGTTTCATTTGTCGGTAGGCAGCGACACAAATGTAACAACAGAAGACAAGGGCAGGCAACAGATCGTTTTATTATAAAAATCAACACGTATTTATACATATTTCAGACAACATTATTATAGACAAGCGCAGTCATCTGATTGGTTGTTTAGGTAGACAAACGCAGGCTTCTGATTGGTTGTTTCGGGATTCCTTGACAAACAGAGTTCTCTCTGCGAATCATATTTTGCCACGTTAACTTCGCTGTGATTGGTTGTTGACTCAGCCTTGTTCACGGCCCATATTAGTGACTAGACCTTAACGTAGATTAGTGCAACCAATCGGCTAGCAGCCCCTCCCTTCAATACTGTTCGGTACGTTTTTGTCTTTTCTTGAGTGGTAATGGATTTTGTGCTTTTTTTGGTTGTAATTGTAAGCTTTATTTAATGTTTTAGAAACAGATAAAGTTTAAGTCAAGTTACTCTGTTTTTAACTATAGTTAAGCCAGGACTCTGTATCGTCAGTACTGAGGAAGGACTAAATCTGTAGGCAAAACTAATCCTACTGCACTGATCCTTAGCATGTCAGTTTTCATGTTTGACTCCTATTTTGTTTTGACACACTAGCTTCACACAAGTGGTTTCGTTTGAAAAGCAAGTGAAAATGAAGACACTTGTGTAAGGTAATGAGACGAGCCCAATTTTATTTGAAGGCTCCGTGTCGATTTCTAATAGTATAAAATGATAAACTTCATCATGAATAGTAGTGAAATGAGTAAAATGCATACGCCGACAACTTGCTTGTTACATTTGCTCCTGTGTAGTGTTGATAGTAGATATTAAAGATACTTGTCATATCCATTTAAAGTATTTTGAAGAGGCAGCAGGTAACAGCTTTGCTCGCTAGTGAAAACACGTTGGACAACCGGAATGAGCCACAATGGATTGTAGCACTGGACTAGCCCAGAACCCGTTTACCAGCCAACCAACAAATCAAAGGGAGGCTACAGATCACATCACTTATGCTGCAAATGTATGTTTTTTGGGGTCTAGGCTGATTTGCATCCTGTTTGGCGTAGACCTGACAGCCTGCTATTCATAAGTTGACAAGTGCGTGTTGTTATATAGTTGTTGTTGTTGCTATATTGCTATAGGAGATACCTCTGTTAAAGTGGTTATTTATCATAAGCTGCTCTGTATAATCTTTTGTATTAGTTGGAGCGGAATGGCCTGTTATAGTGATGATTCACATCGAATGTCAAGTAAGCAGTGAAAGTGCGTGCATTGTGTTGCATAATTTTATAGATTGAGTTGTCTGGGCCATCTGTTAATCATTCTGAGGCGGTAGCACTTTCCACGAGGGATACTATTTGGGGCTGTAGCAAGCTCAGTTAGTCAAATGAAAACAAAGCACTCAACAGTGAAGTCTGTGACAATTGGTTTGAGTCATGTTAGGCGATTTATACTATTCGACTAGGGTCATTTAGATGCTGAAAATCAATGGTTGGAGACTATTGTTGATATGACTCAAAATTGTTCGTAGTGATGCAGACATGTTCACTTGCTCTGTCGTCTTTCAGATTGTGGAAATCCTCATTAATCTCAGCGTAAATATTTTTTCTTGGCGATAGATTTTTGTCCATTGACGTTTCAGTACATTTCTTTCCCCCAAGTTTATGTGCACTCTTGAGAAGTGTGGTAACTTGAACTGAAGCACTTTTTGTGCTGATTGCTCAGCTGGTAAGTCAGTCAGTCATTGATAACATCTTTGGTAATCCAAATAAGTAGATAAAAAGAGCAGAAGTTTCTTGAAGTTGTGAATTTTCTTTGTGTAGCCAGCTGTGAATGTTGTTAGTTGTATATATATATATATATATATATATATGGTTTCCAAATACCACGGTTAATGAAAAACCAGGCTTTGAAAATATTTGTATTTCTTTCCTTTGCTTATAAGTTGTACATTTTATTAAACTGTTATTCGTGTATTTGTAACGAAATTGTCTGTCGGCTGTAGAGATTCGGTTAGATATTAGTAAATTTTTACAAATTCATCCTTTTGGAGTTAACTTACGTTTTGTGTTTGTCACTTTCTGTATTTTATATTCTAACAGTTGCGTAAGTATCAGTTATGTGTACAATCATTCCTTTATAGCATTCCAACACCATGTATTGCGTATCCGATTCAAGCTAACCAAAATACTTCAGGGAGTGTTTTTAATTTCTCAACTGTTTCCGTGTTACAATCTCTGACGACACAAACAAGTTTTGCTTTGCCGGGTAGTGTTAATCCTACAAATTTGTGTGTATTAACGACTCCATGTGTTGGTCATGTGCCAGATTTTGTGTCCCAGTCAGTTACATGTTCTATAGCGCCACCGACCATCTCAGTCAGTCAACCTGCTTCGAATACAGAACAGTTACACTCTGAGCCTTCTCAACAAATGTTCCCTACTTGTGTCACAGCTGCTAAACAGCCTAGTGTGTCACTACATAGAAAAAGACAGACCCCAGTTACACCATGTTCTTCTGTGTCATCGAATAAGGCGACTGTTGTGTCGTCCCTTCCGAATCATTCAAACATTCCTATTCAATCGAATTCCGCAGTGTCCGTTTCTACTCATTTCACTTCACAGAATTCATCTCAACAGTCGCTTCCTGTTAGTTCAAGTGTAAATACAGTACTTGTTCAACTGGGACCAAATGATCTAATCAAGCGAAGTATAAGACGCCGTGTACAAGTCCCATGTGAATTATGCAATGAAATTATTTCGACGAACATCGCTGATCAATATTACCATATTGTATGTCATCATAACGTAAGTTCTCCTATTTGTTTAATTTCTGAATTATGAATATGAAAACAATCTTTCACTAGAAGTTGTTTACTGGAAACTGTGGATTTGTGTTGATAAAGAATAATCATGCATTACTGTAGCTAAATAGTGGACTACACGAACGTTTATGCGACGCCAATTCTTCCAAATAGTATCCTGAATTCTCTAGCCAACATATACTCATAAGTAGGGTGTGTGAACGTGTGTACAATCCAACATTACAAATTGAGTTAGCCAGAAGATCGCTTAACCATACTGATTTAATCGCTAGCTAATCAAGTTGTCAAGTGACGATTAAGTATCTGTCAGATTTCATTTGTATTGCCAACCACCATCACTCTTCACATTCAGTCAGTCGTACTCGACTGATGACGAAAAGTAGTTACTTTGACGCTGCGGTCGGGCTTATCATGATAATAATAAGTCAATAGAATTGTCCTAGCTAACACTATTATATCTGAAATAATAGTATATTACTGAAGTCAATAGAGTAGTAGTGATATGGGAGTAAAGATTTCTGCTGTCATCAATATCTAGTGTCCTTAATAGGTCTGTTAGAGCAGTAGCATGTTCCCCTAGGATAAGCGACAATCTAAGCCACATTGCTGACTGACTGTCTTACAAGAAAAAGGAGAAAATTCAATGTGTATGATACAAAGTCGTGCGTCATTGAACTGAACAAGTGATCATCAAAACATTAATAGTAACATGGAGAAAGGACAACACTTTCCCAGTCATCTTGTTTTAGTCTTGTTCATGTTGATCTGATTGGTCTGTCTGCCACTGTCTAAATTAGGATATATATACATCCATGGATAGTTAAATATTATAGAGAAGATTTGTAGCTCAGGTGGATGATTTTGATGTGGTTTTGTTCTCTGATGAAAGCTTCGCAAACTAACCATCCAGCTCAGAGAACAAAACCACATCAAAATGGATAGTTAAATTAGACATTTGACACCAACCAGTTGGTGGTGTTAAGGTTGGAGTCTGAGTTCAACGACTTCGGTCTGTGAAAAGCCACCAGGTATACTGTAAGTGATGGTCTAGTGTTTGAGAAGACATGTGTTAGACAGATAGTGTAACTGCGTTCAGTATTTTGTAATACTATTTCGGCTTTACAGAAGGCTAGTGAAAACTGTTCGATGTGATCAGATGATTGTTATAGGTGAATCGTTAGAGAGTAAAGATTTTGTTTGACTTTACCCGATATCTAGGCAGTGCAGTTTCCCACTATATAACGGCATAACTGCATATGTCTTGACCTCTAAATGATGTTCAGTGATAAGTGCTGTTTATCTCTATCAGATAACAGACGAAATGCAGTTCGCCCTACACTGATTGTTTTTGTTTTTGGCAAGTATAACTGAATAAAATAAACGTGAACAGAAGTGCATGACAGATGTCAATGATGAGATTTGATGAAGGAGTCTTCTAAGTTTCCAGTGTTGATTTCTTACGAGAAGAGAGAGAGAGAGCGATAGGGTGGGGGAAGTCTCTATAAGTTTTGATATGTATTTGACCGGTTTGTTGTTTGCATACATTTACCTGACAACAAATATGCAACACTTTGTATACTCACTTGTTGTCCTTTGATGTTTACTTCTATCTAGATGACATGGGTTAAGTAGAGAAGTGAATCTGAATGGAAGAGATCTAAGAATGGTTAAGTGAGTGAGTGTAATGTGTAATAGGCCGAAAATTTCCAAGGTGAAATAATTCTCCCGTCACTTAAATCACCTTTTGTGTGTATTTTAAAGTTTAAAAAAATGTCTTGTGATGGTGGAAACTACATTCGTTAGTTATGTTTTCTTTTTGGTTGATTTAGTCAGAAGATGTAAAACATTTTCCAAGTCATCCGTGTGAAATCTGTGGTCAGTTATTTTGGACGAAGTCTGGCTTAGACATTCATCAGAGAGTTAACTGTTCCTTTTGCCGAATTAAACTGTGTAGTTCAATGTTTTTCGTTCATGAAGTTGTTTGGCATCCTGTAAGTTTTGTATATCTTTATCTTTTGTGTTATTGGTGGTGTTACGAAGGTGATTGAGTCTTAGAACGATGAGTGATGCTTGAATCTTGAAAAGATGAATGAACCAAGAATTCAGGCTTTATTAATTTTACAATGAAGCCGGAATGACTTAAACGTATAAAGGGAAAAAAGAGTGTTAATAGCGGTAGAGATATGAATATGATTATATACGTATTATAAGAAAAGTTCACAACATTTGGGATAATTGTATCTTGGCTTGTTTGTTCGTATGAAATTATGCATTCCGTCACACATACGCTTCAAGAGTTAATTGTAGCCGTATCGGCTATTACTCAAAATAAAGTGATCAGCTACATGATATATATAGTTAATGGTTTATTGTAAGGATTGATGAATTGTTTAATCTATTTCTAGCATTAATTGTAGCTGTAGTGTAACTGTATTTCTGTCTACTCCGGCCAAAGTCTTTCTTATCAATGTTGCATGCATACGTCACAGCTTTTGTATATTTATCATTGTAATGTCAAGCAATTAGCAGTATCGATGGGTTTGTTGTTCACTGGTAGGAGTACGCAGCCCTGTGGTCAAGCTCATCTACTCTGGGCTTAGGACTGGCTGGTAAACTAGGTCATATTGTTGTCTAGTGTGCGCCGTGTTATCTGCAAATAGGCCCATTGTATTTTATCATGCATTATTAGGGATGAGATTTAAAGATGAAATAACAAACAGATTAGTTTTGGTAAAATTGCCTAATCAGGAATCTTTTATGAGTTAATAATTGAAGTGTATACTCTGTCCGGGTTGAACATAGAACTTGGCACCGAAGTGCACCAGTTCGAGTTGCCACGTTCCAAATAGCACACAAAAGTAGACAAGAAGATGAGTGAAGAGAATCAATAGAGTTTGACAAGTATACGAGTGAAACAGAATGAGTAATGGTAGAAAAGAATATGAAAGATTACAGAGACTGAATACATCTGCGCTGGTCATTGACAACGATTTTGAGCCATATCGCCTATTGTCTCCAGCCATTGATTCCTAGAGTCCCGAGGGCCCCAACCCGGAAGTCTGCATCTCCCTACCTGACCGACTCAGTTTAACTGTCAAGGATTTCATGGATTGATGAGGCCGTGTTTTTGTTTGGCCACCACTTACTCTTTTCCAACCTGTACCTATATCAGCTAGTACTGCCCGTCGGGGGAGGCGATGGTTAGGCATGCGCAGCACGTGACCTAGCCATCTAAATCTATGTAACTTTATAGCCTCGTCGATTGATTTTCCCTCTTTGCCCAACACTACGCCTAACGTCAACATTACTTACCTTATTATACCACTTAAAGTGAGAAAGAGATCGCAAACACCTATGATCAAAAGCAGTCAACCCTTTCATGTCTTCAACTCGTATTGGCCATGTTTCAGAGCCATAGAGAAGGACGGAACGAACTGCTGAGCAGTAAATACGTCCCTTGGTTGATAGCCGGATGTCACGCCTACGCCAGAGATGGTGTAAGTCAGCGAAAGCACCTCGAGCCTTTTGGATCCGTGCTGAGATTTCGTCGCCAATCAGTGCGTTGGTGCTAATGCAACTTCCCAAATAGGTGAAGTGGTCGACATGTTCTATCACTTCACTCCCTATCACTAAGCTAGGAGTTGACGTAGTCCAGTCCAGTGTATACTCTGTAGAAATATGTAAACTATTATTGTTAAATCTAAGTGTTATGGTTTTATAAAATGTTTTATGAATAGGATATAATATTGAGGTTTTTTTCAAATGGGATATGAACTGGTGCTTTTCATTTCACAATTTCAGGAACATCTCGCTGAATTGTTAACTGGAGATGCGCACAGTTGTCCAGTGTGTTTTCTTCAGTGTGCAAAAACTGGGAAATTAATTGCTCATATACGGAGGATACATTTTTTCAATGTTCCTAAGAAGATAAAGGCTTTGCGCAATTTAGATGTGCCAAAACATAAGAGAGACGATGGTACTACGAAGGTTAAAGAAAAGGTGGCATATCTGTCATCCTTGGAGTCTAGGCTGTTTTCGCGATCTGTCTCATCCCCTTCATGTACATTACCTAACAATATAACTGTTCACTACGAATCGATTGAAAATCCATACGTGAAATGTTGCATTTGCAGTTCCCACTTCATTACAGTTGCTCATTTAGATATGCATATGGCTCAGGTGGGTTTCTTTTCTAACTGGTTTTTATTTGCTTAGTCACCTTCGATTTTGAATGTTGACTTATAGAGGAATTTTGTGAAAATGCAGTTTTTACTGCAAAGTTAAATTTGCAATGTCTGTCAGTAGATTAATATCATTGAGTAGTACTTTATAGTGCTTCTTGGAAGGGATTGACATCGGTTACGACTTCTACAAAAGTATTATTAGTAAATATGTTTGGGGATTCTAGAAGCCTATCTTTGTCTAACTTTTTAACTATTGACCACATTTTCAACTTACTGTAGAGATATTTATCTTGTAGTTCTGTCCATCTTATTATTAACTTTGTTGTATTAATCTTCCCTTGCACACTTCTGCTAAAGATGATTGTTACTTTGATTGACTTTAACTGGATTTACACGTCTGAATGACGTCAGCTGGAAATATTGTTCCATGCGAGAAATATTATTCAGATAGCGGGCGAAGTTCTTCTAATAGAGAGATAGATGTAGGTAGTATCAGTAAGATGATTCCTCTGCACAAGCCATTCTACCATTTCGTCTCGCTTTGGAAGTGTCGATTTAGAAAGCATTGCACTTCCATATTTACCGTCGGGTGCTCCGAAACTTCCAGTGACACTTCTTCATAATTGAAATTTCTTAAATTGTATCATGTTTGGTGTGTTGTTGTTGCTGCTTATATTTGTCTAAAAAATGAGGTATATTTAGCGTAAATACATGAGGTTATTTAAAAGCCTCCCAGAGGCATGTAAGAAATTATAATTACTCTCGTCGGTTACAGCAATATAAACCGAACATTTTGGTAAAGCAGCTGAATCATTTCTTTATTTTCATTTAAGTCAGACTTAGTACAACATGGACACTGACAGAGATGTTCCGTAGACAGTAAAATGATATGAGTAGAAGTGAAATGAAGTAGTTGACGAAGAACAAGGAAATACGAAGAAAGTGCGTAGCCATGATTATCAAAGTGATTGATTGGTTTTGTATTACTTCCCTGAGTGACCGGTTTAGATAGATGATCTCTCGGATCTCATTAAGGGAGTCACGACTGACTTACGAACAGGTGCTAACCCAAAAAACCTCTTAACCTTTTCACTAATTGTAAATGTATATATATATATATATATATATATATATGTTTAATAATATCAATCTGCCGAAATCGTTATTCTGTCTAATGTTGCCTTAGTAATTGTCTGTTGTATGGCTTTTGTTTTAGACTGATCATCTGTACTTGTGTCCATTATGCCCATTTAAGTGTGACACAGTGATTGACCTTCGGGATCATTGTGATACAGCTCATCCTTCAGATGAAATTTCTTCGAGTAAATCTTATCGGATTGTTAATCCTGTTCCAGCTGTTACAACGAGATCTACTGTGAAACCTACACCAACTGCTGGTCGTACAGTTGTAGCTCCTACCGCTCGGGAAGAACAGCGTCGTGCCGACAATAGACTTCATCAGGTCGGCCTTTTTTACTTCTATCACTTTTTTTTATCGTATATTTTTTTTCAACAATCACTGAGATGCTAATAACTAGTAATGGTTAGTTGATGTGGCTGTCATCGACACGCAAAGGTTTACTGTGTTCTCTATGTTGATAAGTGACTCCTTGGATTAAGCACTTGACTTACAGTCAGTGAGTCATAAATTCAAAGACATGCACCGGGCAAATTTTGAAAAGCCAGGTAGTTTTTTCAGGCTTTGTTTAATAGGTTTGTTAGTACTACTTTTAGTGATCATATTTATAGTAGTGGGTGTTTCTGGCTTATGGTTTTTTTTGTGAACTGTCCCAATTTCTGTTTAATTTCATCATAGATGTACTAATGAACTTAACGCCAACTGACTTCAGCGATTCAGGCATGGATTGACCGAACATTTTGGTAGAGTAGTTGGATCATTTCTTTATTTTCATTTAAGTCAGACTTAGTACAACATGGACACTGACAGAGATGTTCCGTAGACAGTAAAATGATATGAGTAGAAGTGAAATGAAGTAGTTGACGAAGAACAAGGAAATACGAAGAAAGTGCGTAGCCATGATTATCAAAGTGATTGATTGGTTTTGTATTACTTCCCTGAGTGACCGGTTTAGATAGATGATCTCTCGGATCTCATTAAGGGAGTCACGACTGACTCACGAACAGGTGCTAGCTAACCCAACACAACTTCCTCTCATCCTACACAGCTCATTTTGGTGTTTTGCATCCAGTGTCAGTCATTAATGGTGTGGCGTGTGCTACTGATAAGATTTATGACTTGTCATAAAAATATCAAACATCAGGAAGATAGATTTGATGTCTGAGAAAGCGAATGATTCAGTGTTGCGGAGAAACACGTGAAAGATAAAGAAAACACAATATGGAAGCCAGAAAGTAGCACAACACGGAAGATATGTGCAAATGGTGTACATAATTTGGTTAAATGACGATACGAAGTCCCAAATGAAAATTCCTCTACCAAGTTTCTCGTCTTCTACCGTTTCATTATCAAGAAGTGAATAGTATAAAAGTTTGTTGGTATGTCAGACCTCACGCCAATGTAAGCCATCAAGGCTAGTGCTTATAAATGGCATCACTTTGTGAAAGACAATCTCACGATGTCAACAGACGCAGTCAGTACCCAAAATTATCTGCACACTGCATAATCTTCACTCCACAAAGCCTCGTCCAACTTCTCCACCACCAAATAAGGATAATTAGACAAAGAGATGGTCAGAAATCTCTAACGAATTATATATATATATATATATACATATATATGCTTTTAGTCACTATGTCTCAGAATGAGGGCGTGACAAATAGAATGGATTTCTGCAG